AACAGGTGAACGCGGGATGTGGTGTCGCGGAGGGATTCGTGCTCTTGGGGAGAAGGATGGGGGACAGTGTGACGAGTCTGCTGTTGGACACAGTGGTCGGGGGTCGGGGGGGGGCCTCTGTGGGGTGGAGACGTTTGAGCAGAGACCTGAGTGGAATGAGAGTGAAAGCCGCGGGACTCTATCCGGGAAGGGTGGTGCGCGTGGGGGACCAGCGTGTGTGGGCGTCTCCAAAGCCACTCTCCATGTGGGAGTAAGCATCTTCCACTGAACCCTGATGAGCCCGAAATTCTGATGCTCTGCCTGAAAATGCGCCCAAGAGTTGATTTCCTGTTATTTGAAACGGGAAAAATTGTAATGCATGACGCCTCACCCCAAGCCCCAAAACAATTTCCTAAAATGGAACTAAGCGCTTAAAATGCCTACCGACTACCAGACTAGCCTGTTAGGATACAAAATGCTTAAAGCATGGCTTCCTGACCCATCCCCGAACAATTCCTAAAGCTTTCAGCAAATGGTGTGTGTGTGGTGACACGGCCACATCGATTTCATGTCCCCCTTCTTTACTTCTTGGTGGTTTTTCAAAATGAGGTTCTGACGTCCTCTCAGTAGTTAAAATGTTACTTTCCCTGTGTGTTATTTTGATAGAAATGCTACATTGAGTTTTGGGGATACAAATATAAGTTTTTCTGTATAAATATTGGTCCGATAATTGTGAGAAACATGCCTTGTATGAAGCTGGGGTATTAAATACAAATGCAGTCTACTGGGAAGTTGTTTACTAGGGAGCTGCTCAAAGTTGGCTTGTATTTGTGGGTTATTATATTTGGGTTAGGAAGGATGTGAGGTTTTTTGTTTTTGTTTTTGTTTTCGTTTTGATGAAGGGGTATTTAATATTTCACGTGTTTGCGACAAACCCCTGCCCAAACCCCACATACCCACTGTGTCACATACCGCCTCTTTTATAAGGATCATGGGGAAACTTCTCCCCTCTATCAATATCAGGCAAAGTTCTGATTTGTTCAAGTAGTTCTGTTTGTTTCTATCTTATAGGCATTGAGAATTATGAAGATAGTGAAGCACTTTAAAAAAATTTTTTTTTGAGGAAGATTGGCCCTGAGCTAACATCTGCTGCCAATCCTCCTCTTTTTGCTGAGGAAGACTGGCCCTGAGCTAACATCTGTGCCCATCTTCCTCTATTTTATATGTAGGTTGCCTGCCGCAGCATGGCTTGATAGGTAGTGTGTAGGTCTGCCCCTGGGATCTGAACCAGCAAACCCCGGGCCACTGAAGCAGAACCTGGGAACTTAACTGCTGCACCACCGGGCTGGCCCCAGTGAAGCACTTTAAAATCCATGGTTTTCAGTCTTGACTCTGCAGAGCTTTGGGAGTTCCCTCAAGACCCTTTACGAGTACCCACAGGAGAAAGGTGTGAGGCATGAGGCTGGGGCTGGGATCCCTCACCTCCTTTTTCCACACGGAGCTTCTGTGCATGCTGGCTTTCGAACAAAAGAAAATTTGAAAGTGCTGATGTAATTGATCACATTTTCCTCTTTGCATTGCCTGCCAGGAAGCTCAATCAATTCTCAATCAATTCCCATGCCTGACAAGTGCTCAGGACCTCTTAGCCCACATTTTGAGTGCAAACCTCACCCTGGCTTTCTTTTCTTCTCCTTCCCATGTTTCCCCTTCACTGCTTTTCTTGTTTTCTTTATTCTACAGCCGTATGTATGTTTTTGCATACTGCCTCAAATCCCTTTTGGAAGGAGCCAAGCTTTAAATGAATGCATTTTTTAAAATGGAGTACTTTTTTGTAGAGGAGATCTTTCAGGTGAGAAAGGACTGTGTATAGAAATAAGGCATGATTTGGCACGGAGAGTATACATGTGTGTTTGTAGGATATGTAGATACACGTTGGCTAGTTGTGAAACTTGTAGTTTTCAGAGTTAAGCTGGTCTTCTGGCTTCAGAGAAGGTTGACTTGGAAGACTCTGGGGGGCAAAAATGTTTTACTCCAGGGTAGGCGTGTCTGTGGTCTACACTCCAAAGAATCTGCGTTATGGTTTAGCATGTGCAGATTTTGTCTGAGATTATTTTGCTGGTCATTATAAAATGAGAACAAATTCTTCCCAAGAAGAAATCAAGAGAAAGAAAGAGATGGAAAGGGGGCACTTGCCCCTACAGGGGAAAGCGGCAGGATTTGAAGTGGTTTTCGGTAAGAATCGGGAGCTTGAGTCCCAGCTCAGCTTCTATGTCTTCTGCTGTGAATCTGTGATCAAAAGTCCTCATTCTTCCAAGATGGAGACTCACCCCCTGCAAACGCCGGCATCCTCCCGGGAGCTTTAAAAAGTACTGATGCCTCAATCTCCCCCACAGAGGCTCTGGTTTAATTGGTCTGGGGCGGGGCCTGAGCATGGGGATTTTAAAGGCTCCCCTGGAAATTCTAATGTGCAGCCGAGTTGAGAACCACTGCCCAAGAGAAGGAAAAAATAAAATTAATAAGCACCTGCCTCCTTTTATCTCTCAGGGGGCCTTCGGGCGTGGCTGCGATTTATGAGCTAATGGGCCAGATTCTGGTGAAGGGGTCAAGTGGGTTGAGGGAAACCAGTTAACCCTTTGTACCCCTTAGAGTACCCCTCGTTAATAAGTGTTCTTCAGCAATTTCCCCCATGATCTGCAAGAAGAAATACATTGCACATCCTGACCCAGCTTCACACACACTTACTCTTATTGCATACAATTCACTTGATATTTTCCATTCCAGTCTCTTCCTTTAGGGAAAAATATTTTTTGCTTACTGCCATTGTTTAAACAACATTAGATTAAAGCTCACGGGCCAAGATAAATTAGATATCTCTGGAGAGCATTAAGAAGTGCAATTTATAAGGACTTGGAACTTTTGCAAAGATGCTATGGGAAGTGAAGTTGTGTGTACAGTAATAATATTTGTTGAGCGATGGCTGGTGCCAACTCCAGTCACAGCAGAAAGTCTTTTACGAGCAGATCTCAGTGAATTGTCACAATAATAATAATACAAGATGGGTGCCATTATCTCCGTCTTTGAGGTGAGAAAGTGAAGGAGAAGTACCTCTGTACGCCCCGCACCGAGACAGCAGAAGACTCATCTTCAGCCAGGACCGGCGCGTCTGATGTCTACCTGGCTCGTGCGAGGAGAACAGCCAGGCTGACTGGATCCATTTGCTTCTGTCTGAAGTTTGGGAGTAGAAAGGGGACGGAAGAAGCTGTGACAGAGGTGGATCGAGGTGGACGGAGGCCTCTGCGTAAACAATTCGGGGACCCTATTTAAGAAAAAGAATACAAACTGATGAGTCCAAAATTAGGTCCCAAAGTACATATTTCTTTGAATTAACAAATCACAACAAATTCAGATTTTAAGATGCTGAAAAATACCACAAACATCACAAAATTCCCAACTCAACTTTCCCTCAGCTGGATCCCCAAAAGCCAGTGGCCACTTCCACCCCACCCGGCTCAAGGTCAGGGCCTGCAGTGGGAAATCACAGTGGAGAGAGATGGTGGTCTCTGCTGATTGGGGCTGAATGTCAAAAGCAAAGCACTTAGAAATTTTACATGAACAGGTGACCATGTGAACACATTTCTAGGCTCTTAGAAAGGGCCCTAGAAAGGGCACAGCAAGCGGGGGACCCGGAGCTTAACTCCATCAGCTTCCCAGTGGCCTGCAACCGGAGCTGAAGGCTCTGTGTTTCTTCTCGAGAGCGAGGGCATTGGAGACGGCTGGACCTCACCTTCAGCCCTGGGTCGGCCACTCTGCCTTCTGAGTTTGGACTCAGTCATCGGTAACATGGGCACACTAACAGTGTCTGCCTTTGGGTCTCTTTTGAGGATTAAATGTGATAAGGAAGGCTCACCCGATGAGCTTAGGGTTGGCAGGTTTAGCAGAGAAAAATATAGGACACCCAGTTAAACTGGAATTTCAGAGAAACTGAATAATTTTTGAGTATAAATATATACCACCTATTGCAGAGCACACATATTAAAACTTTTTTCTTATTTCTCTGAAATTCAAATCTATCTGAGTGCCCTGTATTTTATTGAGCTTAACAAATGGCAGTAGTTGGTACTGTTTTCGGACTGAAGCACCCTAGGTGTTCCACCCCCGGAGTTCGTAAACAGTGGAGAGCGAGTGAGAGGGAGAAAAATATTGCACAGACTCCATTCCAGGCAGTTGATTGTGAGGAAGATTGAAAGAGGTGGCCTTCAGAGGAGGAAGTAAGTGGGGTGCCTTAATTTAAGGTGTGTGTGGAGGGCGTTGCCCCACTGACTTTGGGTAAGCCAGTTAAATTCTTGGGACCTCAGTTTCCCTGTCTGTAAAATGGGTGAAGGGTAGGGGGCGCTTCCTGAACTCTCCTCCAGGAGACAGCACCAGCAGGGGCACTTTCTCATAATACAGATGTCACTGCCTCAGAGAGGTCTTCCCTGACTGCTGTAAGATTTCGTGCCCGAGCCCCCAGTACATCATGTTTTCCCCGCCACGGTAATCAACTTTCTGAAATGGTCTTGCTTCTTCACTTGGTTGTTAACGGTTCACCTCCCCATGTGAATGTAAGTTCCGGGAGGGCAGAAAACTAGTCTGTCTCGTTCTGGCTGAATCTCCCACAGCTGGACCTGGCACAGGAGGTGCTCAATGTACCCTGAATGAATGAATGGGTGGGTGAATGAATGAATGTCAGTGTAATTGTTGCAGTTCCTTCCGAGCAGGCTTTCTTCTCTCAGGGGCCGTGCCGGGTTGCAGAGGGAGGAGGTGTGGGTGTCGGTGGGTGGAGAGGAGGCTGGGCCCTCGCCTCCTCCGCGACCGGCGAGAGGGAGCGCGCTCGGCTCGGCTGCAGGCGCTCGGAGCAGCGCGGCGGCAGTGGCAGCGGCAGGGCCCGAGCCCCGCGCCCCGCGCCCCGCGCCCCGCGTCCAGCCGCCGGGGGTGTGCGCCCGCCGAGCCCGGCGCCGCGCCTCGGAGCCCGCACGCGCCCACGCAGCGGCGCGGGGACCGGGCGGGGGCAGAGGGAGGGCCCGGCCGAGGGAGGGGAAGGGGCCGGTCCTCCCCGCGCAGGCGGCGGCCGCGGCAGCCCAGGAGGCGGAGGCAGCGGCGGCGGCAGCGTGCCCGCTGCAGTGGCCCCGCCGCGTCGGACCCGCGCCCGCACCCGCACCCGCACCCGCACCGCGCCGGGGCGCCCTCTCCACCGCGCGCGGTGAGTACCTCCCGCCGCGCCCGCCCCGGCCGCCCGCCGGGATTCGCCGGGCCGGGGTGGACGCGGGCACCTCGCCGTGCGCCTCTCTCCCGCACCCGCCGAGCGGGGGGGCCTCCGCAGCTGTTGGGGCGCTCGGGGGCGCACGGGCCGGATCGGGGCGCCCGGGGCTCCCAGGGCGGCTCAGGCACAAGGGCAGCGGGCACAGCGGGCAGATCCTGTCTGGAGAAAGTCCGTCCCGGGCTCGGGGCCTCAGTTTCCCCGTGCGCTTGGTGGGGAACGACCCCGAAGTTTGCACTCCCGCGCGCGGGACAAGTGCATGGCGCGCAGGCGGTGTAGACGCGGCTGGGTCCTCTGCGTTTGGTTTGTTTTATGACCCGAGTGGTTCGCGATGAGGGACGCTCTCAGTCGGACCGAAGAGGCGCCGGGAGCCGGGAGACAAACGCACGCCCTCGGGCGCTGTTTCTGGGGTAACCGAGGAGCAAGCGGCTGGAACCCCTGGGATGGGGCTGGAATGGCCCGCTGAGCCTTGTCCTTCTAGCTACACTGCGTTTTCAAAGCCCGTTTGCGCTCGGCCTGCGCTGGTCCGGCTCCCCGGCTTTGTGCCGGAGCGGACGTCCTGGCGCTGGCTGAAGTTGGGGTTGAAACTTGCAGAACTTTCCATCAAAAGAAGGTTTAGAAGGAAGCGAGGGTTTGGTTGTGATGGGAGAGAGTGGAGAATGGAATTGCTTTTTAGCCTCGCAGCCTGGAGGTAAAAGGGCCGTGCTGGCCCTCGCTCCTTAAATGTATTTCCTGCCCCCAAATACGTAGTTTATAAGCTCAAGGAATATTAGGAAGGCTTGACCGGTGAAAATGTTCGCATCACAGAATCCTCAGTGCGCCTTTCCCGACTGTTGGGAGCGAAGCGCTTTGGCCCTGCGGGGTTGCTACTGCCCCGAAGCGGGGAAGCCCAGGCTAAGAGTTGACAGCGTGCACGCTGCTGCCGTCTGAGTTCTTTTTAAAGCAAGACTGATGCTGCATTTTTATGGATACCATTTTCTTCTCTTCCCCCTTTCCCCCAAATGTAAGGTAATCTTTAATTACTTGTTTTTTTATAACGTTGAGGTATAAATCACCCCCGGTGGGGGTACCTTTTCATTACGGGGAGCAGTGAATCGAGTGCACATCAGAGTTGGGTGTGTGAGCAGGACAGAGGGAAGCAGAATGATTTACAGACATAAAGTCAGAATGTGAGTGCCGAATTAGGTTTGAGTTAGGGAGCTCCCTTCCAAAGGAAATTATAACCAGCGGACAATTGTATTTCAAACCGAATCTGTTCATTTCATGAGTGGTTTCTTGCTTGCTTGAGTGAAATTTCTGCTTCCAGAGTATGAGTACCGAGCAAGTAGCCGCATACCAGCCTCTTGCCCTTTTGAAAAGAGAGAGAGGAACTCCGTTTCAAACCTCCTTTTAAAAATAATCTTTGTGAAAAAATCTTTTGGGCAACTTTACTCAAGAAACGTTCATCTTTTCCCTCTGTTCTCTCCCCATCACCTTAAACCCTTTAATCTTTCTACTTCCTTGCATTTAGACATCCTCAGACTAGGGAAAGTTAATAGATAATTTATATAACAAATGATGATTGTTTGAAGCTTGCTTTAGACTGAGCGTGAAATCGTGTTTGCAGCCAACATCCCCTTGCCTTTGAAGGAAATTCTACATTTTGCACTTTCGAACAATGTGGCTAGATCTGAAAGGACCTGAACTTTTTAAAAGCAGTTCGTGTGTCCCATACATAGTTAGTAGTTACTCCATTCTCTTGTAACTTTAGCTTCACAATATTATTAACTATTTTATCTTAAAGGAATGGGCATTTTTCCTCCATCTTGAAATAGCTCACCTAGTGTGCTGGCTATGTGTCTGAGAATACGCCATAAACACATAAATCTCTTTCCTGATATTAAATAACTAAAGGAAATAAAATAAAATAAAAAGATGTTATCCCAATACGTTGGGATTTTTAAAAAACATGTTTTGATCACTTAAGTTTTAGAATCTTCTTTTCATGCCTTTTGTGTTGTATTAAACGCATCATAAAGAGATATGATTTGTTGACTTGTTAGAGGATTACCGTTTGGCAAAAACACCCAAATATGCTATTTCAAATGTGTGGTATTACTTCTGCTTTAAATTGCATGTAAGAGATGGCGAGCCTTGTTCCAGACGGATAAATTGATAAAATGCTAGCTGCTGCTGGGAGAACGGAATATCCTCAGAGAAAACACTCTGTGCTGGAGCTGAGTGCGTTTTGAATTAGAGTGAGCAAGCTGTTGAGACCCTGGCAGTTTGTGAAAAAGTATGCGCAGTCCAGGCACGTCCACTTTAAGACATTTTTGGTTCGCCCATGACAAAAAGACTCCTTTCCCACAAAGAAGAAACCGTTCCCTTATTTTTTCAGTTACTTTTCCAAAGATAACTTGTGTCGGGCGCGAGACACCAGAGTTATGCAGAACTCTAACCGTAACCGGCTCAGAACCAGGACTCATTCTTGCTCCTTCCACCAGATGTTTTTTAGGTGTCCTCAGCTGGAATGCCCAGTTTGAAACTAATTAGACCAGCAATAAACTCCTTGTATAATAAAATCGCAGGCCGTTATGGTGCATAAGTGGGGCTCCCAGCCACTTATGACAGATGCCTCTCTCTCGGCAGAGAGAGCCCGTGGCTGTCAGGAGAAAATGAAGGCATGGAGATGTCTTGTTTAGACGTTTGCCTGTCCCTAAAGATCCGCTAAGTATCCATGCACAGCGCGTTATCTTCTGTAAGGGGTGGGGGGACGTTGCAACTGGGGTGGGGTATTGTCTTTGTCGGGCAGGCCTCCATTGCACAAAAATGCTTGGGGAAAAAATAAAAGCATAAAAATGAGGCAGTATCCACAGGTCTGAGGGGTATGTGTTGTGAATTTGAGTATGGAGTGTGTGTGTGTGTGTGCGTGCGTGTGGGCTGGGTGAGGCTTCCCCTCACTTAGGCACACATGAAATGTAAGGCCGTCCGGCCTGACGTGAATTCCTTAGGAGAGAGAACTTTCTCCCCAAAGATTTTTTATAAAGGGGGCATTTGCCTAACTCCGTAGTCCTCCTTGTCTGTGGGGTTGGTGGAGGTGCAGTGGCTGGTGACTCAGTTCCCTCCAAGGCCCACAGGTTCTGCCGCTTGCCAAGGCTGGGTTTTGTTGGTGGAAGGAAACTTTTTTTCTTAGCTGGCTGCTGTGAAAAAGGAGTTGGTGGCCTCCACTCAAAAGGAATCTCTTTTCAGAGAATTAGCCCCAGAGTTGAGAAAACACAGCCTGTTGACAGAACACACACACGCACACACACACTCACACACTCACGCACACACGCCCCAGAATGCCTCGCTCTCTCCCCACCGTCCTCCCTCAGCCCCACCCCCAGCATCACAACAGCTTCTGAATGGCCCACTTCTTTCCCCTCTATCGTTTGTGGCATTTCAACAGACCCCACAAACCAAACACAAAGAAGATTCTGGTAAGGAAACAATTAGCAGAGAACTCACTTGAGACAATGCTTCATTTTCGCTATTTGAAGATCTTAACTGGCCTAATGGTGTTTGAGTAACACCTCTTCTAATCTGAGGATAAACCCCCTCAGTCAGGTGGCAAATACTTGAAGTGACTGGCTGGGACCCGCTGGTCTCGCTGTGAGAGGGTCGGAGGGCAGGAAGGCACGCTGCATCTGCCTCGCTGCGTCGCATGGGGTTCCAAATCAGCTCAGGGTATGAAAGTACCACCCAGCTGTATTTAGGGGGAGGAGGACGACGGAAGTTACAGGCTTTGAAATTTATTTTTCCTGCTCTTTCTTTCTTTTTGCTCACTTTCATCATGTTGGTGCCTTTGCCTGTCTCTCCACTTACAAATTATATCTTTGTATTTGATAATAATGATGAAAATCGCTGCCATTTATGGAGCACTCATATGCCAGGCCTGAAGTCAACTCCTGCCATGTGTTTTTAGCATGGGTTCTCATAACAACCCTTTGGCATAGGAATTAATGTTATTATTGTTATCCCAACTTTGTTAACGAGGAAACTGAGTCGAGAGTCCACTGACTCAGGAGAGGCCAGAAAGCAAGTGAACCCCGGGATCGAGGCCTTCCGACCTCCAGACTGTGCCTTTCCCATGTGCTGTGAAAACCTTAGCTCAGAGAACATTTCTGCTCTCACTTCCCTTACAGAGAGATGCTGAATTTGCATGGTTTTAAATGCGCGTAACGCAATTATTTTCTGACTCTGCCGTGATGTTTGCTGTTGTTGTTTTAAACGAAAGAAAAATCATATTAAGTCTTCAGAGGACGCAGATATGAGCCCTTGTGAGTCACGATAGTTAGCAGGTTGTGTGTGGTTCTGTAAAGGAAAATGACTGTTTATTTACAAGGGCTAATGTGATTTGTGCCTTCTATGCTCTAACGCTGCGCATTTCGGTTCCTAAAAAGAGTCAATAAATTTACCGGCAGTGGCAAGGCCCTCCAATGTTACGGTAGGCGGTCCAAGTCCAGTTTCCCGGAAGGTGCTGGGTTGCTATGGGTGGGTGGTTGTTTGGGGGTCCGACTGTAAACATTTGGAGAGGGAAGAATAATTTGGAACAGGTGGTCCCCAGAGTCAGGTAACCGGCACAATTTCTCTCTGCCACTTTGAAGGTTAAGGGAGGCCGCGGGCTGCCCGAAACTGGGACAGGCGGAGTGAGGGTCCGTGGGGCCTCGGGGGCCCTCCCTTTGGGACACAGCCTGGCAGGATGGATGGGAGGGTCTCTGCTCCCCGGTCTATAGAAAGCAGGGGCTTCATCATCTCTGTCATCGCCCCCTGATAGTGCTGGTTCAGGCGCAGCTGCGTCTGCTCCTGCTTTTTTGAAAAGTCTGCCTCTGTTTTCAGATACGTGCAGAAATTTAAAACAGGAACTTAGATGAGCAGATAGCCAGGACAGGTTCCCTTCTTGCCGGTTTGGAGAATGCACACAC